CAGAGGCATGTAGTCTAGACATACCCTAAATAACTCTTTATTTTATTTTCTTAGATAATAAGCCTTTAGTTCATTTACTCTTGAATTGGTTACCAGCATTGTCTTCGATATAAGATAAGATCTAAGGTACCCACTAATTGGGGGATAAGTGATGGTTCTCTTGGGACTGGGAGCAACCTGAATATGATGTGATTTTGGAGTGACATTTTATCAAAAACTCCAATTTGTCAGGGTGGCAAGATAGACTGGAAATCCTAAGAGGATTGTCTATGGCTCCATGGTAGGACTAGTAAAATGATTCAGGAGTTCACATTTGTTACTGGCTTGGTGAAATCTAATTATAGAACATACCACTATGTCTGCCCTGCTTTTTATGGTCTGCCCTGATGTAGCCATTCCACATTGATATCACCAAAAAAAAAAAAAAAAAAAAGGAATGATGTTTAATTTGAACTATTAAGAAAAAAATACATGTTTTCCTCCTTCTGGAAACATGGGACACACGGGTATTTCATTCCACAATACATCTCATCCCAAGAAATGGACAGACCACAAGTTGTCTGTATTTTACCTGAGCTCTCCAGTAGTGGCTGAAGGGTTAAAGATAATCTCTGCTCCATTTAGACTGTACATGAGCCAGTTGAGGGGATGATGGCGCCCAAAACAGATATTCACAGCAATCCTTCCAAACTGAGTCTGGAACACAGGATGCCCTGTGTTGCCCTCCATATAGTAAGTAGACTAGGAAAAAAACACAAGCAGGTATCTTCAGGCACTGTCTCCATGTTTATCCATCCATCAGAACCAGAACCTATAACCAGCCTTTAAAATTCATTAGATTTCTGGGGCCCAACAGTATGTTGTCAGCCCCTCAGCCACTACATATCTGCACTGTATGTACAGATCCAACAGAAATGGCTGTCTTGAGGGACAGAGATCAAACCCTAGACCATTTTTACTTCTCTTTACTCACTGTTTGACAAAAGGGCTGTGCCACATGGTTTTTTCACATACTCCTATAGCAATATGACATTCTCCATAGACTTTTTGACCTTATTGCCCCACCCACCATGCCAAAATGGTAAAAGCAAAAATTATAGCTGCTGCAATTGAAGGCAAGGGAGATGAGTTATGATGGTACAAAGAAGGAAGAGTACTCAGAATGGAGAGTTGGATAAAAGTCACATGAGCTTCCTTTCCCACTGGCTCACGTTACATTGCCATCAATGCCAACAGGAAGTAAAAACACTCAACTTTGTTTGGTTCAACAGACAAGGAAGTAGGAGGTCATGCACTTGGTAGCTTCTGCAGGCCAAGTTTATTGTACACAAGGAACCCCTTGCATTTTCTCCATTCTACCCCACAAGCTCCCTGAGTGCCATGGTCCCATCCTCAATATTTCAGGAACTCTTTGGACCAGACTGAAGAAGTTCTGTGAAGCATGAAAGATCTTGCAAATAAGGTTTCATCCTACAAAACAGCTAATATCACATCTAGTTCTTGCAACTTCTGACTCAAAAGAGAACTCTACCAAATAGCAAAGATCTGGCCTTAATGCAATACAATTTACCATGTATTAATTAGTCACAAAGGAATTAAAAAATCATTAAGTTCAGAGTTATAGATATCTACAACACTAAAAAAATTCGGTTAAAAATCTTTTTTTTCTTACCTTAAACCATTAACACCTATATAAACTTGTTTGAAATGTAATCATGCAAATGAACTGGTGCACACATGCACCATGTGCAGTCTGCTTCCCCTTAAGTCCTTTCCAAGAGAACTCTAATGGTACTAAAAGAAGTCCCCCCTCCCTTAACTGCCTAAGATAACAGCCGCTTTTGCGCAAAATCTTGCCATCTGTCTACACTAGCAGCCTGAATTTGCGCAAGAGCACTGACGTTCTAATGTAAGAATTCAATGCTTCTTGCGCAAATACTTTGACGCTCCCACTCAGGGATAAGCCCTCTTGTGCAAGAATACTTGTGCAAGAGGGCCAGAGTAGACAGGCACCTTAATTTTTTGTGCAAGAAAGCCCAATGGCTAAAATGGCCATCTGAGCTTTCTTGCACAAAAGCGCGTCTATACTGGGCACGGATGCTTTCGCGGAAAAGCACTTTTTGCGCAAAAGCATCCGTGCCAATCTAGATGCTCTTTTGCAGAAATACTTTTAATGGAAAAAATTTTCCGTTAAAAGTATTTCCGCAAAATCATGACAGTCTAGACGCAGCCGTAGACTGTAGCAGTCCTGTTTCCTGCAGCCAGGGAGGAAGCTCTCCCTATGAACTATGAACAGTTTAAAAGTGTCTCGATTCCTCCAGAGAGGGGTTGTCACCTATCTATGGAGACAGGCTAACACATGACTACATGTTTTGTTAGTCTTTAAGGTGCTGCTAGACTATTTGTTATTCTTTAAAGTTTTTACAGAAAGCTGGATGTTGTGAAGAGAATCTAAAAAAGTGGGCCTTCTTAAATCCAGATCCAGGGAATGGAATGCCCTAGGGAAAAATCAGACATGCATATAGTGTGCTTAATTTTTTTTAAGATAAGGACTTAAGAGAAAACTCTGGTTCTAAATAAATAAAATTTTATTTAAGGATGTAGCTTGATCACTGCATTTGCCACTATCATTATATTGAGCTGGAACAGAACTACATGGTCCGTGCCTATCTGAGATAATCATGGGTAGCATCAAAGGACAGTAATCTCCGGCCTGGTCTGAGAATAAAGGAATCACATGATTTAACCACAAATTTGACCGTAAGAGCCACTCATTACCAGCTATCCAAAAGCCCTCTGCTCTGTAAACTCCTGTCAGCCCTAACACACTCACTATATTTAACATCTTCAGAGGGGCAGCCGTGTTTGTTTATAACAGGAAAATCTTTAAAAACAACAAATAGTCTAGTAGTACCTTAAAGACTAACAACACATATAGATAGTTGCTCTTGCAGTATTCATATGTAAAGAGTGTAATGTGAATTATCAAATGAAAGCTGGTGAGATGCCAATCATTAATGTCACCATATGATGTATGTTAAAACGATGTGAAGAGTCATGTGTGTGCTGGAAACATGTCCCTAAAATGCTTTGGGATAGAGTTTATCAAGCAAGTTTATCCTCAAAAAAGGAATGTTGATTTGCCTGTATACATAATGTACATGATGCACAGTGATACCAGAAGCAATAAACATTTCATTTGCATCTGAGGTAAACACTAGTTATCAAATAAGAAAACAGCATGCTGCCAGTCCATCAGAGGGAATACAGTCTGAACCACAAGTAAGCATCTTCATTCTGGAAACAGAATGTAATGAACTTGTGTAATATAAAAAACAGCAAACAGGCATCGAGGGAATACAGATGTCAACACTCTTTGCATCTATGTAAAGCCAGTCCCAAATATGTGGGCTGGTAATTCAAACCAGCTGAGGTGAGCAAACTGCTTTAGACAAAGGTTGGAACCTACAGAGGTTATATTAATCTCTCAGAAGCCTGTTATACTTTTGTTTTCTTTGTAACCATTTTCTGCTCTGCTTGGTATCACTTTAATCTGTTTTAATTAATAAAATTCATGGACAGTCCATGACCAAAGGTCACAATATGACAGAGGTCTATAAAATCATGAATGGTGCCGAGAAAGTAAATACAGAATTATTATTTACCTCTTACTTACATAACACACAAACTAGGGTTCAACACGATAAAATTAATAGGCAGCAGGTTTAAAACAACTGTAAGGAAGTATTTCTTCACACATGCACAATGAATTTGTGGAATTCATTGCCAGGGGATGCTGTGAAGATAAAAAATGTAACTGGGTTCAAAAAAGCATTAGATAAGTTGCTGTATGATAGTTCCATCAATGGCTATTAGCCCAGATCAGTAGGAATACAACCTAATGCTCCAGACAACCTAAAACTCTGACTGCCAGAAGCCAAGAGTGGAAAATCTGGGATATTTTTCCCAAATTCCTCTTCAAGCTCTAGTATCAGACACTAGAGCTGTGTCTAGATTACATTCCTTTTCTCAAAAAATGGATGTAAATTAGACACTTCGAAATTGCAAATGAAGCTGGGATTTAAATTTCCCGCACTTCATTTGCATAATGGTGGCTGTGTTTTTTTTTCGAAACTGGGCTTTTTGAAAGAAAAATGGCCATTTAGACGGGGATCGTTCGAAAATAAAACTTTTTTTTTAAAAGATCCTGTACTTCCTCAGGGTATTATTTTTGATCAATTCCTATCTAAACAGCTGTTTTTCTTTCGAAAAGCCCCATTTTGAAAAAAACCACAGCCACCATTATGCAAATGAAGCACAGGAAATTTAAATACCGGCTTCATTTGCAATTTTGAAGTGTTTAATTTACATCCCTTTTTTGAGAAAGTGTAGTTTAGAGACAGTCTAACAGAGACAGGAAACTGGATTAGATGAACTGTTGGTCTGACTCAACATGGCAGTTATGTTTTAATAAATAATAATATTTCAAAACAGTTCTGCCTATGTTATAACTTTTTAATTTATTTTTATTTCTCAGTCCACAGTTTTTTCCACTAACATAAGAGAAGAAAAGCTTGTTATTGCTTGGGGGAATTCATCTGCTCTTGCTCTTTATTCCTCACTAGAGGTCATAATCATCTCCACAGCAACTAACTGATGCCTCAAGGAGGATTGATTTTTGTTTATTTATACACCCTCCTACACACAGCTGAAAAGGTTAGAAACCAATCCTTCTCCCCTTTACATTTAGCTCTCATTGATTCACCATGGATGATTACAAGCTGGCATCTTTCCCAGCTTTCTCTACATATAGACAATCCTCCCAATCTGAGAAGTCTAACTCACGGCCCTGGTTCTGTTTTTTCCCCTTTATTGTAGTTTTCTCTGTTAATAAAGATCAAATCATCCTTCCCCCCCCTTGTGTGAGCTGTTCAGCCTTCAACCAAGGTCTGTCTCTCTCTCTTTTCATAGAGCCATGCCCACCTCTTTTATATCTAGGCAAGGTAACATGTTACCAGTAGAAAATGTAACCTCTTCCAAGCAGGATCAACACCTGCTAACAGAGTGATGTATTTTAGACAAACACTACTGGATATTATAGTGAAACATATACAGTAGGAATTGTCAAAACGGTTAAATAAGTTAATAAATTGTTTTAATGCTTCTCCTGCCATTCATGATCACATAGACCACCTCTCACTGGTGATCACATTACATCCCTGTGGCAACTGTTGAAACTGCATACACACAAAAGTGAAAGTACTTATACACAGAACCCTATGCAGATACCAAAATGTGTATCCGCATCCATATCTGCAGAAATAAGCCATGGATATAAAGCAGATATCTACAGATTTCCAGGGCTCTACTTATCTATAGTTTAGCTACCTTTCATTGCAATTTCCCAACTGGAAATGAAACATGCATCTAGCTAATTCGGCACAGACTATAGAGACATCTGCAACACAGGGTTCTAGGTCCTTATCAAGGTTCTCTCTAAGATGCGTGGCAGCACAGCCCCACAGCTGCTTACTGAGCCCCATGCTCAGGCTCAAGGCTGCCATGCATGGAGCTGCCTGGCTGGAGGAGGTGCACTTCTATCTCCGCTACAGCAGCAGTACCTGTAAACAGAAAAGGTTACTTACCTCATAACTGTTGTTAGAATCATAGAATCATAGAACTGGAAGAGACCTCAGAAAGTCATCAAGTCCAGCCCCCTGCTCTAGGCAGGACCAATTCTA